CATTCATCTCGATTTGTAAACCAAGATTTAAATTGTCGATAAATTGCATTAGATGACATTAATATCCTTTTGAATGACAGTTCGCTCTATGGCGAGGGCCGCTAAAATGGTGATGTTTGCAAATGTAATAACACTGATTTATCATAGTTCATGTGAACCAAAATTTATGAAATTTTGGATTTAGGTTCCATTTTTAAACCATTTTTTCAACCTATTAATATTGGATTCAGAGAGCCGCAATAATGGCGGTAAGCTCCAACTCGGATTAACTTTTAATACCGTCCCTGTTTGGATGATCTGCGAATTGTTTGCATAGCATCGTGTTGAATAACTCTGATGTCGACATCAAAGCAGCCGGACATTCTTGATTGGGATTTAATCCGAGGATAATACCGATTGGAGCTTACAGCCATAAGTGATTTAATGAATAATTCGCTGATTGCGACTCTCTTAAAACTAAATGCACAGGTTTCATACGTCAGACTCATCCTTTGCAACGTCCTCTTGTAACTTAAAAATACAAAATGTCATAATAAAGGAGCCTTATGATGGTACACAAGATGGGTCGCAAGTTTATATAAAATTTAAAGTATGGTTCGCAATCAGGGAAAGACTGAGATTTAAGAATTCTAATGTAAATTTTTCATAAATAATGCCAATTTAGAATTCTGTACTATCTAATAACTATTTCTTCGAACTTTTAGGCAGTTTGGATAACAAATTAGCCAACGTATAAGATACTTACCACAGACAAACAGACATAACACAATATTTCTCACTGTAAAACATCGTCGTTAAAACATTACCATTACTCCACTTGGTCTAACCACATAGCACGCTGTGCTTTTCTGCGTCTTGTACCGGCCGGATTTGAGGAAAACACCATTTTTGCGGGATTGTTGTCCGGCATTCTTACAACGTGTCCCGCCCATTGTACCCTTCCACTTTTAGCGACTTTCTGGATATTGGGTTCGCCATAAAGTTACGCCAGTTCGTGGTTCATTCCTAAATAGAGCTGAAACTAGGGCGTAACAGCTTTTGTAATCAATGACTTCTCTCGATGATTTCGCGGAAGTCATGGCTCTCCCAGGCGAATCGACATCACCATCGATTAGAGAAAGACTTCTACTACCCGATGGATATGTTGGTTTGTGTAGGCGTGTCTTGAATTCCGAGAACTCAACAAGAGAAGTCATTGTTTACAAAGGCTGTTACGCCCTAATTCCAGCTCTATCTAGATTCTTCTACTCCATTCACCATTTTCATATACCCTCTGCCAAAGATGGTCCTAAGCACGCGTCGTTCGAAAACTCCCAGTGCTCCTCGAGCATTGTCCATTGTCATATTTTTCATGCACAATAATTTTGTTTATTATATATTTGCAGTTCGTTTGCAGCAATTTTTGGAGCGATCCGTGAAGGGGAAGGCTTGCCACTTGTATATCCGAACAGTGGACCAAACAAGCCAGCAACCCCGTCCAAAGTGTCAAGCATTATTGACAAATTGGCACAGTGTGTCGATTTAAAGGGAGGTCTGGAGGCGCAGCGATCACATTGTCATGATTGCCTGGTAGTTCACTCAAAAATGCTATAACAATCGCCAAGCTCGCTGTAATGTCACCAAGTGCCTCGTCACCCACGAATAGGCGCCTATGTCAGTGGTCTAACAACTCTTAGCGCGCTAATGGCATAGTTCCCCTGCCGCATAGAGAGTTGCCGCAATGATATTAGGTTAGCTAAGGTCAGTTAACTGACTGGTGGGAAACGGAAGCTTCAGCATTGACTGTTATGTACGCATTTTTATGATGTAATCTAACAACAAGCGTGTGTAGTGTTTACACGATCATGTTTCTAATTCTAATGTGTTGTAAATATAATTGAAAGCATTTGAAAAGTAAGATTCTAGTGTTTTGTATATCTAAAAACATTAGTAAACATCTACATTTGAAAACATTCAAACAACGTTTACTTTAAACGTTTTGTACATCTGAAAACATCAGAGAACAACAAACACGAAGTACAATTGAAAACATCCGAACAACGTTTAGTTCTAACGTTGTGTGTTGTGTACATCCGAAAACATCCAAAAAAGTTTGGTTCCAGCATCGGGAGGCATCTACGTTAGAAAACATCAGAATACATTTACATATAAAAACATCCGAACAACGTTTAGTTCTAACGTTTTTTACATCTGAAAACATCCAAAAACGTTTGTTTCTAACATCAGGAAACATCTACATTAGAAAACATCAGAAAACGTTTACATTTAAAAACATACGAACAACGTTTAGTTCTAACGTTTTGTACATCTGAAAACATCCTTAAAACGTTTGGTTCTAATGTCAATAGATTGAAATTTTTGACGTCAGACCGACATTAGAATGGCAAAATTTTGTTCCAAAATTTCTGATGTATACACCATGTTACGTTGCTTAAATACAACTAAATCATAATGTTTCCTAATGTTTGACATCAGGCATACATTTTATTTCGATGCTGATGTAGACATCAAAATCAAACGTTGGGCTAATGTAAATTTCTATTCGGGAACATGTTCAGTTATCAAAAAGTGATAACCGGGTAATAGAACTTGTTATCAATTTGATATTTTACTTTGCTCGGGATGGATATGGCCTGTTGGAGCCCTTCCAACGTCCGGTCGATGTCATCTACGGTGTTGAGCAGTGGATTTTCATCGATGTTGCTGTCCACCATTCGTCCGTACTGCACCCAGTTGACATGGTGGTAGTCTTTACGCAGGCAGCTTCTAGCAGGAACCACGTTGACACCGACTTCAGTCACCACCGGTTTGTGGTCGGAGCTGAGATCGTTGTGCGCCTCCGGCTTGGATAGTCCGATGTTTGACAGGAAAAAGTCCAGCGTGGAGGGATTTCCCGCCGGAGAGATGAAAGTTGGTTCTTCCGGAAATTGCACAGTGTACAGACCATGTTGTGCGTGGTCGAACAATAGACATCCGTTCCGGTTCCTCTGGTAGTTCTTTCAAGCTTCATGGCGGGCGTTCAGGTCGCCCCCACTACGGTTGTTAGTCAGTTGATCAGCCAATTATTGGTCAGAAAACGAGCCATCCAACAGGAAGATGCCCCAATGAATGGAAAGAATACCCGAGCAAAGTCCAGCATCAAAATGACAGCAAATTGAAATCAAGTTTTGATATCAACATCAAACTGAAATCATAATTTGATTTCAGTTCCGCAATTCACAAATTTGATACCAAATTTTGTTTTCATTTTGCTGAACATTTGCTCTTCAAAAATATGTGGTTGCGGGTTTGTTTTCATTGCCTCAGCATAACATTAAATTGAATACTTGTGTTCAGCGAATCCAAACACATAAAGCAACCAACGATACAGACAAAACGGTTGCTACGACTACCATGACAAACTCGCTCTGTAACAAAGCTCGATCCGAGTGGTAGAAGGATAATGATATATTGCTTGCCTGCTTTGTTGCAATATACACGGATGAGGACATAGCTTGATATGAATCGGGAAAAGACATAACAAAAAAAATCCCATTAACACACGTGTATCATCTTCGGCTTTACTTCGTGAAGCAGCTTGCCAACAATTTGCTCGTTTCCTTCTACCGCCCCGAATGAGTTGGTTCGCACGAGCTGCTTGTCATGAAAAAGAACGGTGAAGATTATATCATTATTGTTTTCCACTTCTGACATAGCGTTATTATTCGGTTCGTTGATCGCTTGTTATTTTGTCATTTGGAGATACTTTTGACTCCTTGCTTGTGTTATTATCAATAGGAAAAAAATTTATTTAAAATTTAGTTTTCAGTTTGCTCTCACTGATAGCAGAAATAGTTTTCAATGTGATGTCACAGGAATTTTGGTAATTGGTAATTTTAACCGAACTTTTAACAGCTGAACTGTTCGGTAAAAATCAAACATTTCAATTAATTAGTTTTAAAGCATCAATACGAGGAAAACATCACCACAATGACAAGAATCCATAATTTTAAAAAAATAAATTAAGCAATTAATTAATTGCTTTGAAATTAAGATTTAGATAAACAGCTTTTTAAATGAGGGCCAAAGTTTTACCGAACATTCAGCTGTTAAAAGTTTGGAAAAAAAAAATTACCGAAATCGGTAATAATTTCTAAGTGTGTAGTAGTTTCTCATTGTTACCATCCAATTATGTACTGTGTTTGCAGCTGAATTTAAGTTGGATTCTTAAGTGACCTACCAGATCGCCATCTAAAATTTTATTTTGACTTCTGAAATATTGTGAAGGGCATCCAAAGAAGCTGCTGATGTACTTTTCATTGCCCCTGGCATTTATATACTAGCAAGTCATTGTATAAAGAGAGTGAGAGAGAAGGATTAGTAATTTCCATTTAATTCCACTACCATATTTCCTAATCCTTGAAAGATACGCGTATTTAGTCTACAATGTGCAGACTTCTTCAGTGACTTGTACTAATAAAGTCGAGTATTAGTACAAGACACTGAAGAAGTCTGCACAATGTAGACGAAATACGCGTATCTGTCAATGATAAGCAAATATGGTAGTGGAATCTAATCCTTCTCTCTCTCCCTCTCTCTTTATACAGGTATTCCCACTAAGACGCCCACATACGTCAGGATTCAAGTCATTGTAGTTTTCCTAACTTCTTTTGCGCGGTTACCTAATTTGTTTTGGGCCTGCATATCAGTGAAGCATAGGTAATTGTTGTCTAGACTATTGATTTCCTATGTCGCAACCCCAATAACCCGGTCAAAAGGAATCTTCGAGCTTTGATTTAAAATTAAAATTCCTAGAATGACAGCCATAAATTCTCAATAATTCACATTTTTGCATATGAGACAGATGTGCGATTAACGGTAATAGATGAAGAGAATTTCTACAAAAATGAACAAATTTAATTATGGCAACTCACAGCCTCCCATTGGGCATCGATCGTTACCATATTCTTCCTCTTTTCAACAGCTAAACATTGTATCCAATTGAACGATTCAAACAAAAGCCCGTTCTCTTCGCAGCACATCCATATCTGTGAGGAAGCCAACGCTATTCAATCTATGAGTAATAATTATAATCGTGTGATCTAGGTTTAACGAACCGTGAAGATATTCAATTTGAGAATAATTAGCTTCAACGATAAAATCTCGACCCTCCACTTGGTAGCTACCGGTACGTAATTCGAATAAAATTCCACAGAATTATCACTCCCATCCGACTAACTAACAAACAATGGCTTCCTTTCAGCGGTACTACATACCATTTGGCGCGTCTTTTCGGTGTAGCTTTGTGCACGTGATCAACTACACCAATCAATTGTTCTGTTTTCTCGCACCGGCATGTCAGGGAAATCCAAAAAATCCACAACCAAACCGACGTCCACGTCCGGTGCCCAGTCGGTGTCCTCGTCAGCCTCAACCGTGTCCAGCATGGCAGAATCTTCGGAAACTGCCCTCAGCCCGTCGCGCCGCAGTCGGCTGCACGAGAAGAACAGCCTAATGAACCTGAATGATCGTCTCGCATGCTATATTGAACGTGTTCGCTATTTGGAACAAGAAAACTCCAAGCTCTCGCTGGAATTGGCCTCCTGCCAGGAAACAGCCAGCCGGGAGGTGGCCAATCTGAAGGCAATCTACGAGAGTGAATTGACCGATGCCAGGAAACTGCTGGACGAGACGGCCCGGGACAAAGCCAAAGTCGAGATCGACGCCAAGCGGTTCTGGGAGGAAAATGATACTCTCAGGATCAAGCTGAACAAGAAGATCAAGGAGCTGAGTGAAGTGGCGAAGGATGCCCGCGATAATGAATCGAAGTGTATTGAGCTGACCGCCAACTATAACAGTGCTTGCTCGGAGAAGAAGAAACTTCAGGAGGAACTGAGGGAAGCGGATAAGGAGGCGGCCAAGTTACGAAAGTCTTTCGATTCCATGCGGAAGGATCTCGAGCACGAGACGCTGATTCGGGTTGATTTGGAGAACAACATACAAAGTCTCCGCGAAGAGCTGACCTTTAAGGAACAGGTACATAGTCAGGAGCTGTCGGAGAGCAAAATGCGCCGACAGAGTGAGGTGAGCGAAATCGATGGATATCTTATGGATCAGTATGAAACCAAGCTGCAGCAGACTCTTCAGGAACTTCGCGATCAGTACGAATCCCAGCTGAGCATGAATCGGGACGAAATGTCCGAGCTGTACGATTCCCGCATTCAGAACCTGGAAGGACGCCTTACCCACGAGCGCACCCAGCACGAGGAAGAACGCCAAAAGCTGGAATCGGAACTCAATCGGCTGCGGGACGAGATGACTGTTCAGCTCAAGGAATACCAGGATCTGATGGATATCAAAATATCGTTGGATATGGAAATTGCAGCGTATGATCGATTACTGTCCTCGGAGGAAACTCGCCTCAACATAACGCCAAGCGTAACCAGTACCACTTCAGCCGGATTAAGCACCTCCTCGCGTCTGTTCCGCACCCCGTCCTACAAACGAAAACGCAATGCAATAGATGATTCGCTGGACTACTCCGTCACCTCGTCGGCTAAGGGAGACATCGAAATATCCGATTGCGATCCGGAAGGCAAATTCGTCAAAGTGCACAACAAATCTAAGCAAAGCCAGATGCTGGAAGGGTGGCAGGTGGTTCGTAAGACCGAATCCTCAGAGGTCACGTACAAATTTCCCAAAGGGACCAAACTGGAGGGAAACTCAACCGTTGCCATTTGGTCGGCATCGTCCAATCAGAAGCCGGATCCTCCGGGCAATTTGCTGATGAAGGGTCAATCGTGGGTCACCGGGGACAGCGTGAGCACGAGATTGGTCAATCAGGACGGCGAAGAGGTGGCTCATGCCGAGCGGATTAGGATGAAACCGATGAACGCTTCCGCTGGACATAAGGATAAGTACTTCCTGGAGGAGGGCGGAGCAAGGTTGGGTGTCAGCCGATCCGGTAGTACCAGATCGCCGGGATCCTTGAAGGGAGACAGGAACGATGAACAATGTTTAATGATGTAATGCAGTGAATTGTGTTTGGAGTAAGGATTTTGTTTTTTTCTCAATTTTTGCAATGTAATGTAAAACGATGATGGTAGTTAAAATTATGTATTCGTGTAATTTGGAAGAAGCATTAAGAATAAAATTGCTAAATTTTATGATTCAGTACTGATACTTGTTTATGAGGTGTTGAAGGAAGAAATCGATCATTATACCAACATTGTACCCATAATAATGAAGCAACTGATATGCAATTATGGGTAGTATTGAAATATTATAACTTCAAGTAGTACCGGAAATAAGATCAACTAAAGGGTGATATGGTCAAAATTTGGTCAATATCAACTTGACGTATTTCTTTCAATTTTGCATTTAAAAAACCTGAACACCCCTCATTTTGAAGGTGTGTGTGTGTAGAATGTTGCTCCTATTTTGATTTTGGAATTCACTCTTCAGTTGTCAAAATGCCGTCCAAGCAAGAAGAGCAGCGTATCAAAATTTTGCTCGCGCATCGCGAAAATCCGAGCTACTCGCACGCAAAGTTGGCAAAATCGCTAAAAGTTGCCAAATCAACCGTTACAAATGTAATTAAAGTGTTTGGGGAACGTTTGTCGACAGCCAGGAAGTCTGGATCGGGGGGAAATCGAAAACCGGAAGCCGCTGAGACGACAAAGAGAGTTGCCGGTAGTTTCAAGCGAAACCCTAACCTCTCTCTCCGAGATGCCGCAAATAAGCTGGGTGTATCGTCTACAAACGTGCATCGAGCCAAAAAACGAGCCGGACTATCGACTTACAAGAAGGTAGTGACTCCAAATCGCGATGATAAACAAAATACGACGGCCAAAGCGCGATCCCGGAGGCTGTACACGACGATGCTGACGAAGTTTGACTGCGTGGTAATGGACGACGAAACCTACGTCAAAGCCGACTACAAGCAGCTTCCGGGACAGGAGTTTTATACGGCAAAAGAAAGGGGAAAGGTAGCAGATGTTTTCAAGCACATGAAACTGTCAAAGTTCGCAAAGAAATATCTGGTTTGGCAAGCCATCTGTACCTGTGGCTTGAAAAGCAGCATTTTCATAGCTTCCGGGACTGTCAACCAAGAAATTTACGTGAAAGAGTGTTTGAATAAACGTCTGCTGCCTTTCCTGAAGAAACACGGTTGTTCCGTACTGTTTTGGCCGGATTTGGCATCTTGCCATTACGGTAAAAAGGCCATGGAGTGGTACGCCGCCAACAACGTGCAGGGGGTTCCCAAGGACAAGAACCCTCCCAACACGCCAGAGCTCCGCCCAATTGAGAAATACTGGGCTATTGTCAAGCGGAACCTAAAGAAGACCAAAAAAACTGCTCAGGGCGAGCAGCAGTTCAAAGCAAACTGGCTTTCTGCGGCGAAGAAGGTGGACAAGGTGGCTGTACAAAATCTGATGGCAGGGGTCAAGCGTAAGGCCCGGCAATTCGGATTTGGAAAAACGGAAGCCTAACTGAATATTTTTCCTGAATTTTATACTAATTGAACTTGAAAAAGAAATTTAATTTGATTTTTTAAATAAACGATTTCACCGATTTACACGCGTTTTCCCTTGACCAAATTTTGACCGTATCACCCTGTATTAAGCTAATTATCCACCCAGCGTCCTAAAAATAAGACAGATACTCCAAACACTCAGCACAGACAAACAGACGTAACTCTTTGAAAAACTTGTTCTTGAAAACATAGTATCTCAAAACATATAACCTCAGTAACGACATCTCTCTGGCTTCTCGCGGAAAACAAGCTTGCTCGCTAGCTCGTAAACAATATTGCATAAAAGTTCTATAGAATATATAGAAACGTCAAAGTGATCCGATGCCAGCGCTGCGGCGAGTAGTTCGCGGAACTGATAATATTCAAATCAACCGTTAAATGCATCAACGAAGATACACAATGAAGAGTTACGTCTGTTTGTCTGTGCACTCAGCGTCCTATAAGTAGGACTACTTCTGTTTTTTATTTTAATATCCATACATGATTCCTAGTAGCAGACTTGTCACAGACCGGTTCAGGTAACTTCTATGTGACTCATTTTAGTCTTAAACAAGTTTGCTGCATTTTTTTGTGACAGATGTGTGCTACTTGGGATAGATGGTTTTTGTTTTCGATAGCGTTATTCAGTAAATTAGTACCTCGTTTCATGGTGGTAATTTTAATTCAGAATTCACTCGCTATGTAGCGCTATTTCATGGAGAGTCCATAGAGATTCCATTTAACAATTTTCGTAAATTCTGATCATTGTTATCCTGACCAAATAACTAGAAAGTTTCTAAGTTAAGTGAGGACTATTTGACGAGCATCATTTTACTTACAAATTGACTTACACGGTGGCGCTAGTGAGAAATACAAAACTATTTTACAATTGGTGTTCAAAAAAATTTTTTTTAATTCTTTATTTAAGAGATTTTTAGCCATGGGCATGTTCAAAAGACCCTCGTGGCGAAAATAAAAACTATCGAAATTATGATGGTTTCAAAATTCCTTCGCGGTTCCAATTTTTGAGCAATCTTTATACATTGATTTGATAAACATTCATTCAGAGCTTTTGATGATGATGATGGTCCCACCTCTTACCCCTCCAAAGGTTTGAGTTGGACGATTTATCTTTAAGATTTATTGTAATGGCGAACGTTATAGCTTTTAGTGTGTTGGTTTATTTTCTTTTAATTCCGTTATAATTGCTTATCTTTTGACAGATACGCGTATTTCGTCTACTACTTGCAGACTTTATCAGTGCCAAGTACTCAACACCATGAATGCTTTTCATTGATGAAGTCTGCAAGTAGTAGACAAAATACGCGTATCTGTCAAAAGATAAGCAATTAACCACTTCATTCGAGCAGATAAAATGACGTTTACTACCACTCGAACTTTGAAATGAAACATTATTTTGAGATTCTTTCCTCGAGAAAAGTAGCCAACATTTGTGCGTTTCATAAAAAAATAGAAATTAGTTGGTCCAGTTTTGTGAAATCGCTGGTAGAAAGTCACGCCAAAACTGCTTGACAAAGTGGTCAATTATAACGGAATTAAAAGGAAATAGCCCAACACACTCAAAGCTTTACATAAAGGGATTCCGTTAAAAGGTTCGACAAATTTAGTATTGAAATTCATTTCAAATTTATACTAAGTTCGGATAATGGCGAAGAATTCGTTCGGTGTATATCGCAGATTTTGCTTTTGACAGGTTTGTAAAATTTATAAATTATTTCTCTCGTTCCATTTAATGATTTAATTTAATAAGTAGGAGATCTTGCTGGAAGTTATTTTTCATTTTCATTTTCATTTTATGATGTACAAGGGGGTCAGGGGCCATGTCACCGATGTGAATATTCACACCATCCATAATACACCAGGGAAGGGGAGAGGAGTGAGCAACACAGCATCTTTACCCATGGGGGTTAAAAAAGTTCTGCTAGGTATACTTATGGTAAACCAGCTGCTCAGTGATTGTAGAAAGGAAAGGGTTGGGTAGGTTTTGTGTGAAAAGCGCATAAGTTATTATCGTATCGTTGAAAAATGGCCTCGTTTGGTTTGCGCTCTCGTCACTGAACAACCATCCCTCTCGCCCTCCCGCCGCCTAAACGTCTGAAGGAGTGTGACGTCAAACTCCGTCATCCATTCAATCAGCCGAAGAACGAAAGGGCGTGCAATGAGCGTCAGCGACCCTAATAAAGGGTGGGGGAGCACCATACATGAACGATACCACAAATCGTGCCACCGTACCACATATTGTTGGGATGATAACCCGAATAGGTTGTTAGGCACTCCTTATGGTTATCGTTTATGCGGGTGTTTCAAAGGAATTTACATCTAATCAACCCTCTGTGCGACCCAACCCGTGCAATGTATTTAATGTTGAGAGCCTTGTGTGCCTTATCATGAGTGGTCACGGATCTGGCAATCTTCACATGACTATGCTTCCCGGTGACGACGACTACGATCTAGCCGGTTTACAATAGGTTTTATACAAGAGTACTAGAATAGATCGGAGTATACTTACAGTTTTCGACGTTCCCATGTACTCCTTGTTTACCTTCAATACTACTTCCTTCTTTTGTTGTATTGTGTTTCTGGATAATGGATCCTCGCTCCGGAATGTCTTCAAAACTGGGGGGATTTAAATCGCTCCTCGTGCACAACCCTTCCAGATGACCGAAAGAGCGCTCAGTCCGATTGGTCTCACCCGATATTCTTGAAATATTTGACATTTTGAATAAAACATTGCCATTTCGAGACTTCGTGTTGTTAGTTTACTTGAAGGTCTTGTGCTTAATGCTTGATTTGTCTTTCGCTTCGTATTTCTAAGAATTGACTCTATAAATAGATAAAAAAAAAACAAAAACAAAAACAACGCTTCCCGCCCATAAGCTGTAGACCGAGTGCAGAATCTTTGTGATGATACTTTCCAAACGTGCATATCCATAGAAATAAATCCAATTCAATAAAGGATTGATTTCTACTGCGACTAAATTCAGCATTCCTACTAAAATATCAAACGCTGTGCTTAATCATTTATTATTAGTACAGAGCAATAAACAATGTACGATGATGATTAATCTGTTAACATGCTTTTATAAGCGGGTTCAAATGCACTTTTGGTAAGCATCAACACTGATCTGGCAACACTAGTGTGCATCTTTCCAATGTGGTAAAGATCCAGATCAGCCCTGGGACCTGGTAGCCTAATTAAACTACCTCAAGGTTTTGCCAAAGCCCAGGGAGATCTTGCTGGAAGTTATTATAATCAAAAGTAGAACTCGGTTTCTGGTCGCTTAGTGTGTGAAAAAGTGATCAAATTAGTTTAGAAAAATTGTTAGTGGAATAATTCAGATCTCCGCCTTCACGTTGGAACTAGCAGTACATTATTCCGTTGATGAATCTGAAACCGTTCGTCCGGTAGCACCATCAAATTCTTGTCACCACAATCGACTTCTTCTGCATATGGAACCTCAAGCTACTGACGTGATCAATAATCGGAACTAGTATGAGGGAAATGAGAAGAACGGATCTAGAGACCGTTATGTCCGCTAGTGGGATATTAGCGCTGGAAACCACGTGAGACTGAGGTGAGACGAGGTGAGATACAAAATAGAATTTTTCTGACGTTGATTTCATAACACATAGCCCATTCTCTACAGGTATATTCATTGACATGCTCAGAATGAGCTCCTCAATCGAACGCTGTAACAGGTGGGAATAGCTGCCGGTAAAGGCGAAGGGTCCGGAACCATCGGACGGATGGAGATGGATAACTAGTTGATTACATTATACCAAAAGTTCTAGACAGCTGCAGAATTATCTAGGACCCCCCTCCAGAATTTTCGTTTTTTTTTTTGACTCACCGGTATTTTGTCAAGCTTGTCTAGATCGATGCTACTATTTAACAATAAAATTGAACCACACAAAAAGATTTTTTTAAAGTCCTTCATGTTGACTACATTTCTTATGTTCAGGATTAGAATAACTAATTTTGGGAAATTATAACATATCGATATTTAATCGATGGCATAATAAGACGTCTTCAGGCTCTACAAATTGACCATGCACCCAGGGATTTTTCTTTAACTTCTGGGAACTTCCTAAAACCTCAAGGACTTCTAAAAAGTTCAGGCAACATCGTAGAAATTGAGGAAACTTATTAGAAATCATGGGAATAACATACCTAGATCTTCAGAAAAATTTGAAAATAAAAGAAAATTGGAAAATTTCTGAAAACTGCGTAAAAGTGGAAAATTCGTAGAAGTTAAGGGAACATTATATTATTTCAGGGAAGCTCATTATTGATCGGGAACCTCAATATATTTGCAGAGAACTTTTTTCAAGCCTCATGGACTTAAAATAGTTGTGGAAGTTACGTACAAGTTCAAGAAATTTCGTTCGTGGAACTTCGCGGAAAATCATCGCGAAACGTAGAAGTGCGGTAAACTTTATAGAAGTTTTGCAAATTTCGTAGCATTTTGAGGAGCTGCGTAGAACTTCATATAAGTTTAAGAAATTTTGAAAAAGTTCGAGAAAAATTGTAGAAGATCTAAAAATAGTTCAATAAACTTCGAAGAACTTCAGACATTCTCGCTTCAGTTTAAGGAACTTCGTTGCAGTTTGTCAGAGATCTTACTTCAAAAATCTCCATGAACTTCTTGCAGGTTTTGGGTACTTCGTTAAATTCCAAGGAACTTTCTAGATGTTCACAATATTTGTAACGGCGCCGGTGGTGTAGTGGTAAGCGTGATTACCTCTCACCCCAGCAGGCCTGGGTTCAATCCCAGTCGGCGCCGCCGGGATGTTCTGAGGCATAACATCTCTGATCACGCCTTCCTTCGGATGGGAAGTAAAGCCGTTGGTCCCCGGTTCATGAGTTGATGGGTCGATAGGTAGGGTCCAGGTGTGGGAGCTGCCTTCATGGCACGTCGGTAGCATTGGTGCTCAGCACGGAAAACAAGATCGACGGAAAAAACAAACCAAAGGAAAAAAAAAAAAGAATATTTGTATATGTCTTTCCAGAAGTGCAATCGTAAATTTGGAATAAATTCAGGGAAGTTCGTAGAAATTTATTCTGTTTACACTTTACCATGTTTCAAAGCCAAAATTTTAGAAAAATATAAAATTCAAACTCCTAGAATTTTATGTTGGTTCCCACGTCAGAGATGTAACTCATAATATTCAAAATCAAAAAGAAAGCAAGTTACAAAATTCATGGATTACCTAACTCTGAGAATTTTCTTAAATTTGAGATACCTAAATTTATGAGATCCGGACGCTATGTGATGTCATTACAAAAAGCATGAACAAAGGATCATTGATAGTTCAAAATCAGTAAGCTTTTAAGGCTCGCCCAAACAAGGTCCCAATCGTTGTTATGAAATGAAAATAATCCAATTTATTGTTTTATCATTAAAATAAAAGTAAGCCTTAATGTCATATTATTGGTCACAAAACATGTACCCAAAAACAAGTTGCCTTGACGCAATTTGATTGAATAGCATCTTCGCTAGTTTTTATTTAACCGTAGTTTTGCAAAAAAAATGCAACAGGCCCCCCCTAGGCCCCCTCTAGATAAATTTTCTAGTTACGCCAATGTGAACCACAAAACTCAAAACAAAAGCCGTGGGGATTGTCTTTTTAGGTTGATTCGGTGGATGTTCTTTAAGGTCATTTCGTTGCAGATGTAATCCCATTTGTGCCCATCGATATATTTTTCAAAATTAAAGAACCCAATTTATCTTTATCCTTGCCCCGAGGTACAAATAAATGTTCAAAGCAAAACCGAAATTTTAAAGATGCTATCAATCTTTTATTTTCGTTATATCGAGAATCGACTGTGGTCTTTGTTTTGAACCAACAGTCAAATTATAATTCCTTATGTAATCCAAGCAATCTTAGTAATCGAAAGTAACAAAAATAATCAAAAGTAACAAAAATAATCTGAAAATAATGATATAGTTTTCATAATTGTATGAAAACCAAAGCTTCGTGATCATTTGATAGGCACTGACCGGTAATCAATGATGATAGAAGCCCCTAAATGTAGTTATCTTTGATAACACTAGTTTACAGCATATTTGAACTTTGTAGGCTGATGAACATTTCCCATATAAAATAGTGCGCTGAATCCAAAAATGTAGTCCAAAAAAGCTCAGTAGGATAGTTTTCGAGGTATACCTTAAAAAGTGGAATTTCAATGTTTTTACTAAAATGCAAATATCTCCAGTTGTAATGAAGTTTCAAATTAAAGGTGATAAAATTAACGGTCGATCGTTCGAACATCATTTTTCAGTGAGATTAGTGGTACAAACACTACAAACATTTTTATTTACAGTGCTAAAAAACTTATCAGAAATTAATTTTTTCTTGGATATAAAAAGAATATAAAAAAATAAACAAACTATTAATTAACAACAATACCACTAATCTCACTGACAGTTGACGTTCAGTTGATCGAAAGAAAAATTTCTTACCTTAATTTTGCGTTCAAATAATTGATACAACCGGAGATATTTGTATTTTAGTAAATCCATTTTTTAAAGTGAATTTTCATTTTTTAGTTGCATCTCGAAAAGTATCCTACTGAGATTTTTTGACTACATTTTTGGAATCAGCGCACAATTTTACATAAGAATCATTGGTCAAAGATTCAAGTTCATTTTTTTTTTACTTTTATTTTTAAACTAGTGTTACCGGTCATCTTCCAAGCTTGGTAGAAACTCCTCGCCCAAATCAATACAGGACTTAGTTTTTGGAGTCTAATACTACAATCTTATGATAATGAGCACCTTAATACTAATTTTATGTTTTTTGGAAATTGTTTTGATAAAATTACTTTTTCAAAAAATTGAAGCGTGGATCCTTTAAACATGTTTTTAGAGAGTTTGCATGTATACTCTTTATCATAACCTAATATTTAATTCTATGGGTGAGCAAGATAACTTTTCATAAAAAAATTGTTTTTAGGACAGTCTAATGTAGTTTTACAAGATTATAAAATATTTAAAAGATAGCCCCCTATGGTCCCACAAAATGAAAAGAATTATTAATCCACTCTGAGAATTTCGGAAATTTAGTAATAAAGAAAATAGCAATGGAATGACATGGTTCACATTTCTTGTTTTTCTTCGGTCACAATGAACGCTCACTTGGACAATTGTTGCTTAAATCGCATATTATTAACGATCTACATTAAATGTATACACCGGGGATTATGTTCGTCTCGTTTTCTAGGGAGTCTTCCTTCGGGGAAGGGCTGCGGGTGGTTTGATACGTTGAATTTAATAGATGATAGATTAAAATAACACATTATAGAATAAACATAAAATAAACGTAAAAAGATTACCTTTCAATTCAGTGGTATTTTCAAGTGGATCAGAAAACAGTGTTTGAAATGTAATTTAGTAACCCAAAATGTTAACAGATTCAGGTCGTGCATTCTTTAATTTGATTTTTTTCCTTGTAGGTTGGTTTTTGATCGTTGGGATAGTGAAACAGTAACATTCGGTAAAAATATGAAAAATTCAATAGTGTAGAAAATACGTTCATTGTTATAAAGATGCATGCATGTATATAGAAAGGGGTTTGCCGCTAAAATTTCACTTTATACCATATAAATATCTAAGATTCATAGATAAGACACACTTTTGCTTGATTTTCTGGATTTCCTTTATCGACAATTGGTTGGCATATGAGATTGTTGATTAGATCAGGATGGTTTCTTCCATGTGGTAAAGATGATAGATTCAGCACTAATCGTCATTCACGCATTGTGCTCGTCTTAACAACTCGGTTGTTCTCCCGAATACGATACATTCAGCACTGAATTTGCATCCAGGAGGGGGGATCGAGATCTTCGACAGTTCCAAACTACACCAACATTGATTGCACACTATTAGACACACATACTTTCGGTTTCCGCTCTCATTAACCCGTAAATTCACAACTGATCCGGTTCTCCTCGAGCTTACAGCTTGCACTTCATCTTGGTCGGTATGATGTCCTTCCACCAGGACGCACGTTCCATCGCTCCGGGATTGGTCATGAATTGATTCTGCAGATTCTCATACAGCCGACCGTCCGATTTCGCAATCACCGAATTTAGAACCCAATCCGGTGGTGCTAACGCATCTGCCACCGAAACGGCTGAATCCTTAAACTGCCCACATGCCTGGAGCAGAGTACTGCGAATGGCATCGGCAAAGCGTGGCCCAGAGGCAAAACCACCGGCGTAGAATGTAGCCAGATGTCGATCGATACACCACATACCGTAGATGAAGTACACGTTGTACAATACTGGTTTAAGTTCCTCGGAGATGTCCCCCTGCTGGCAGCGGGATCTAAAATGGGTGAATGAATGAGTGAATGATTACATTTGGGATGGAAGACACTTACCTGAAGCTCTGTAGGGCATAATACTCTGCGTACGCTCGACTGAGATCCCTCGCCCGGTACACCTGGGAATCGTTTCTGGCTTTGAACCGATCGGAGCCGTTCTCACCGGAAAGCTGTACCTGATTGGCGGTTGAATTAAGGAGCCAGCACATCAGCCATTCGTAGCATTGAGCTACGACTGGAATGAAACGAAACATATTTTTGATCTTGAGTACCCTGATGCCGATTGAGGAAATGGAACCGGAAAAATCGAAAATTTCCTTTAAAGATTGCTTCACCAAAATTAGGTTTATCAAATTAAAATCTTGTCGTACCATGAAACCATCATTATGAGTGCATTGAACCTGTTAATTTTACGAACAAATACATTTTAAATTACGAAAATTACGAAAACACTTTGATTTCACGCAAACTAGTAAACAAATTTGTATATCTTTTGTTTGAAACGATTTTTATTGAAAAATACGATATTTTATGAAAATGGAGCCACTGAATTTGTATCTTGTTATTTTCATTTGAAAATCGGTAGACCCGAAACTGAATACTCTCGTACGCGATATCTGGAACTTCACGCTAGAAGTGCGCGGAATTAAGTTTAATGATAGATTTAACCATACATTTTTTTTAAAAGATTAGTTAACTACAGAAATTCATTTTTTTTTTGCAGTAAAATTTATGCAATTCATAATAAAACGACGCTCGAAGAAACATAAATCGCAGCAAATTAATTTCTTTCAAAGTTGTTTAAACATGAAGCATAAAGCTTGTCACGATATTCATAACACCGTAGAGAACCAAGTTAGTTTAAATACCTAAAATCGTAATTCAACGACGCTTATGTAGAATTTGTTTAACTGGTACGCCTACACTAGTGCGTAACGCTATTGGCACCTCTGTAGGGGTACCAGTTAAACTAGAGAGGGTCTAGTATAAGAGAGGAGCGGATTCAAAACAAACTGCCTTGGCAACATATGCCTAGGTGATTTCTAGCAACACTGCCAATGTAATCAAGATAGGCGCTGCTCGATTGGCATCTGGCTTTGACAGTTCGTTTGGCTCAAAACCAGCAAGTCCGCTCTTTTCTTATACTAGACTCTCTCTAAGTTAAACCAATTCTAAATGAGCACCGTTTAATTGCGATTAGCTAGGAGGGATTTATTTTTATTTTTATCGGACAGGTTTGAGCCGAAAGGTCTCAGAATTTTATGAAATTTTGCCCACCGGTAGAGTTTCTGATTAGATATATGAACGAAAAATTTAAATTAAAAAATTCGGGGTAGTTATTTTTTTTTTTTGAAAATTTTAGTATAAAATTCGGGTGCAACATGGGTTCTACCCTAAAAGATCCGTCTCTACCAATCTACCGCCATTCCTATCCTCTTGTCTTTGGAATATGGAAGCAGGAGCACTAACAGATGTCGTCTGTACGGATTTAAAGGCCGCTTTTGATCGAGTTGATCATGCTATCCTGCTAGCTAAAGGGTGTCCACGATGAAATTGCCACACTATGAAATTGCTCTAACTTTTTAACCGTTGGGTAGAATTTAATGAAAATTTGGGTGGATTTAGTTCATAGTGCATTATTTACATCCTGCAAGTTTTAAGTCCTGTGATCAAAACTCACGGAAATGGAGTCGAAAGAACAGCTCGTGCGTGATAAAATCTTGCGCATTCATCACGAGAACAAGGATCTCTCGCATCGTTCCATCGCTAAAACGTTGGTAATCGCGAATTCCACGGTGTCGCGAGTGATTAAGTGGTTCGAGGACCACCGATCGGAAGCCCAGAAGTGAAGGAAAACGTATTCCGTACAACACCAAAAATCACAACCGCGTAGTTGGGGCCTTCAACCGAAATCCGAACGCCTCCGTTAGGGATGTGGCTAAGAAGCTGCACCTAAGCCGAAGTTTTGTCCAGAAGGCCAAAACTAAGGCTGGGCTTCGAACGTTCAAGGTACAAAAGGCCCCTAATCGCGACGAGAAGCAGAACAAGTCCCCCAAAACCCGTGCCAGGAAGTTGTACCTCAACATGCTGACGAAAGTTGAATGCTGCATCATGGACGACGAAACATATGTGAAGGCCGACTTCAAACAGATCCCCGGCAACCTGTTTTTCACGGCCAAGGATAAGTTCAGCGTTCCGGAGCATGTCCGCACTCAGAAGATGTCCAAATTTGCGAAGAAATTCCTGGTTTGGCAAGCCATCTGCACGTGCGGGAAGCGGAGTGCACCTTTCGTGACCCAGGACACGATGAACGGACAGGTGTACATAAAAGAGTGCCTCCAGAAGCGGCTGCTTCCTCTCCTGAAGGCCCACAACGTCCCAACAATCTTCTGGCCGGATTTGGCCTCATGCCACTACTCCAAGGACGTGCTGAAGTGGTATGCGGACAATAAGGTCAATTTCGTGCCGAAAATGTTCAACCCTCCCAACACTCCGGAGCTCCGCCCCATCGAGAAGTACTGGGCGATTATGAAGCAGCACCTTCTTAAACGACCTAAGGTAGTGAAGACAGTCGAGGAACTGAAGAAAGTATGGGTTTACATGCAAAAAACGGTTGATTCACAGGTTGTGCAGAATCTTATGGCCGGGGTTAAGGCCAAGGTGCGGGCATTTGCGTATGGACTGTAAATAAAATACGAGTAAAATGGTAAAATGAAGTTTAATAGTTATTTCTCAATCCCTGAAAATTTGATGGCAATCGGATGAAAACTCGAATTTTGCGAATCAGTTTTGTGTGTGGCAATTTCATCGTGGACACCCTTTAAACTGGATAAGCTAGGTGTATCCAGGCTTGCTGAAACTCCTCAAAATCACTGGAGGTTTTATAACACTCTTGTCCTGCGAGTTTAGTCAGCCCTCACCTCGAGTGAGTGGCGGCAGGAATATGGAAGAAGTAAACAAAAACTCCTCGAGAGAGAGGGAGAGTGAACCTAAGCGAGAGGATGATTTGACGTGAGGTGCACTTTTCGAGACTCCGGATGACGTTTTTGTTCGACGCAAGAAGCTCAGAGTTCACCCAGAGTGAGAGTAAGAGCGTATGATAGAAAACATGAACATGAATGGCAGCAAACCTCACTCTCATTTTATCCGCCTTCACTCACAAGCTCTGAAGCTCAGTGAAATGATTTGGCAGTAGGCATTCTACTCCTCAGAAAAATGCTGCGCTCGGTTCATTTCAAACTCGCCAGCGAGGCTCCTTCAAGCCTGGGTGTATCACAGGACTTCATTCGTTGGTTCAAGTCATACTTGACAAGTCGAGAGCTCTGCGTAAAAATCGGAGCAGCACAATCAAACTATTTCATCACTACATCCGGAGTACCTCAAGGCAGCAACTTAGGGTCGTTGCTATTTTCAATTTTCATTAACGAAGTTGGATTGATTATTCCGGTTGGCTGTCATTCTTACTATGCTGATGACGTTAAAATTTATGTTGTCGTTCGAAGACTTGCTGACTGCTTAAAGTTACAGCATTTGATCGAAGACTTCGAGGATTGGTGTTCCAGGAACTTCGTCGCGTTGAGTATTAAAAGATGCAGCAACATCTTTTTGACGTAGGATTACGCCTTTCGGCAACATATTGGGGGTGCAATTAAAAAAAAAACAAAATCGACCGTGTTACGAAAAGTGGATCAATAGCGGATGGATTTTAATTCTAAACAAGCCAATCGATTGGTAATTTTTCTACGAAGCTGCTAAAATAAATACTTTATCAATTTTTAATAGGTCACTATTGAAAATTACACAAATGTCCAACAGTTTCAATGGTGATCAAAATTATCACCTATTGCCTGCAAATAGTGGTTTCCTTAACATAGTCGCCAAATATTGATACCGAGCACGTAATCCTACGTCAAATCTGCGGTCGAGTCTTGGATATAACCTCTTACTTTTTCATCGCAAACAGAAGTCAATCATTTTAAACTATATGATCAACAATGAACCTTTGCAACGTGTGAGTAGTGTTCGCGATCTAGGAATTACGCTTGATCCGGGAATTACATTCAAGCTACAACATTATTCTGAGATCATCGCTAAAGCTAACAGACAACTCGGGTCTATGTTCAAGATTGCTGATTAATTCCGTGATCCAACATGCCTGAAAGCACTGTACTGTTCTCTAGTGCGTTCAGTATTGGAATTTCGAGATGTCATCCGGGTTCAGAAAGAAAATCGTACGTTATGCATTACGCCACCTCCCGTAGAACGATCCGGTCAATCTCCCACCATACGAACATCACTGTCAACTTTTGGGCCTTGATACATTAGAACGTAAACGCACTATCGCTCAGGCAGTGTTCGTTGCTTAAGTATTTTTGGGTGGTATCGACTCTCCCAGTATGCTAGGAGAATTAGAAATGTATGCTCCTGAAAGATCATTGCGAACAAGGAATTTCCTACATCAAATTATGGCCTGCATGATCCAATCAGATTCATAACTGCTAGTTTTAACCGCTTCTGCGACTACTTTGATTTCAACATTTCTACGTGTCGTGACCTGACCGAGGTTTCCAACCTCGGTCACGGCTACACGAATCTCGGCTTATCTGCTTCCAGTACTGCTGTTTTATTGCTGCTGCTTCTATTGCTGCTCCTCCTGTTGCTGCTGCTGCTATTTGGACTCCGTCGCTTCCAAAGTTAGTTACAAGAATCCTCCTGTACCGTTATCCAGTGGCGAGATTCCAGATGGTCCGTGGGAAGTTATTCAAATCGATTTTCTCTGCATTCCTGGGTTCGGAAGTGGTGAATTCTTAGTGGTCGCCGACACATATTCACGGTACCTCTCGGTGATCGAAATGAAGAACATGGATAGTATCAACGCAGCCTTAAATCAAGTATTTCAAACCGTGCCCAACCGTGATCCAAAGCGACAATGGACGTCCGTTTAAAAGTTCAGCGTTCATTTCTTGTTGGGAGAACAAAGGAGTCAAAATTCGGAAATCAATTTCCCTTTTCCCACAGACCAATGGTGCGGTTGAATGTCAGAACCAGGGTATTAAGGCGGTTGCTGCTTCGAAAATTGAAGGTAAGAATTAGAGAAACGCCCTGCAGTGTTACGTACATAAGCACAATACGCTGGCTCCCAGTATGCTAGGAGAAATAGAAATTTATGCTCCTGAAAGATCATTGCGAACAAGGAATTTCCTACATCTTGAGCGTTCACAGCAAATTATGGCC